AACATTTTGTCTGCATTTATAAATTCTATTTCATTAATCAATTTCTCATTAATCCATTCATAACATACATTCAAATGTGTTAATCGTTTCAATGATTTCAATGAATTAGTAGTGAATTTTTTACGAAAAAAGAAATAAATTTTTAAACGTTTTAATTGTTTAAAGAATTCATTAATTGTTTCGAGAAATTGTTGGGTAATTGACTCATAATTCTGTGCACTAATCTTGACTCTTGAGTTGCGGACATTTGGGACCAATTGGTGACAATAAGTGCCGATATGTAAGACATCGGCTAATATGTAACGTGAGGTGAATTAATGCCGGCATTTGTGACAAACCATCCGATAATGTATTGACCAGAATCTCGTCGTGATTTCAACAAATTGCAAATCCAATTGACCTAATATTGTGGCCGTAATTGTGAGCAAACAATTCAAATGCTGACAATTCATAAGCATTTACAAAGTTTATGTCATATCTCAATGTATTGAGACGTTTATAACGTAAACCACTTCCAACACTAATCACAGGAAGTATTTGAGACAATTCCCCACTAATTTTAATGTTTGTCAAATTGACACACATTTCAAGCCATTTGAACAACACATCATTCATAACAGTGTTGTCTAAATAACCCAATGATATAGTTTTCAATTGTTTGGCAAACTTTGAGAAAAAGCGGTCAATAGTTGGGACAGAAATTGAGGACCACTTTACAGATAATTCTAGAGAAATGTCTGTTAAATGATTGCAACGCTTTGTTAGCAAATTAATGACTGAATCGTTAGAAAATGTAACTAGATGTTTTCTAGAGCTATCACGTGTAATGTTTGTACACTTAATTGTAATTATATCCAGATTTTTATTATTTATGCATCGATCAAATGGCAGCACAAATTGTCTCATATATACCACTCTTTGCCACTGTTTTGATAGACATTCACAACGGAATCGGTCTTCAAATGTGAGGAAAGACAACAACTCTTCGCACAAATCGTCACCAAATCTATCGAAAGATGATTTGCTATACATTTGTGGCATTTCTCACACAAAATGATTGAAACAAACAATTAATACAACAATTGATGCAAAATATGAGTCAATTGTGATTTCAAATTGTTTTAACAAAAACACTATTTTAAAAGTTCTGTTCTCAGGTCTGATATCCAATGAGTCGTGTGTTTAAAATCTCTGTATTTATGACCAAAATATAAGACAAATAAAGAATAAGTTTGGGTTAAATGAGAGATAAAAGAATTGTATAAACAATTTAAATAAAACATAAAAATGAGAGCAATTGAAGCATTAATTTCTGTATTTGTGGTGACTTTCTATGGGATTAATATGGATTGTGTGGACACAGGTGTTGGCACACAAACTAATTGATTGGCTGATCCCCTGTTATGAGACCCACACTAATGATTAGCGATTGTATTATCACAAGTAAGCGATCATATGATAGATATTAGATTAATAACACATTTAATGAAAACAATTAAAACATAACTTTTCTTAATTAAAATTCAATTATAAAACTTTGAATAACGTTTGCATTTATTATCCAAAAGATAGTCTCATAAAAATCGTTGGCCACAAAGTGGGATCACAATTACGGCCACAAACCGGGCAAATGGCTAAAAGTGTGCGCCTAGTGGTCGGGCGGCGGACTCGACAAACAGCCGGTGATTGGCGTATAGCCGCAGATCAGTCGACATATCCATCCATTGGGCGCCCACCGCGTCATCGCCCGCCTCGAGCACCACCTGAGCCGCCATATCGTCGTTCAGTTCATACACTTTGGCCACACTTTCTATCCATGCGTTGTCTGTATTGCGCGGATCGGCAACACATCCCGCGTATACCTCCCGCCCGGCACTCAATAGACGGCTCGCTTTGACCACAAAAACAAACTAAACGTCACATTAGTTTTGGTCATAAATTAGGTTAAATGCTTGTAATTTTTATAAATATTACTACAATTTATAACTAATGTTTAATTAATACATTAATTATTTTATTTGATTATTTAATCATGTTACATTAATTCAATTTACCGTATCAGCCACTTCATTTTTAAAAAGCTTGACCAATTTAATTCTAAATAAACGAATATAAATAATAAATAAGTCGAATTAATTGTTATTAGAATTAGCTAGATCAAAATGATAACAACTTCTAGAAATAAATTAAAAATAATGGTATGTTTTTGCAACAGTTATCGTTAATAAAGATAAGTTAATTAAAATAATTAGAATTGTTCAATATGTTATTTTCAGATTATTTTACCTTGGTTTATCTAGGTTGTGTTATAACTTATAACTTATTATCCTAACTTATTATTATAATAACTTATTAATTGTCTTCATATAAAAAGGTGATAACTTTAATAGGATAGGAATGATCTAATATTGTATTAGTCTTAGATTTACTACATCTATGTGCTCCTATTATATCTTTAAAATTGAATTAATTATTTAATTATTTTTGTAAATGTAAAAAATGTTGACATGTTCATAATGTAACATCGTTAAACACTATTTAAAATGTAATCTATTTGACTATGTTTAATTATATTTAAAATACGTTATATAAATTTTTGTTACGATATTCAATAACAATTAATTCATTCATTTCATATTACAATATGATTAAAACAAATGCACTCAACATTAAAAGTTTACAAATTGATAGCAAAAGTGAAAACAAATTATGCAAACAATTAATGATTAGCGAAAACTATTGGCTCTAATTGTGTGGGAATTAAAACACATTTCATTCAGTAATAAATCATTCAATGGGTATATAAAGTAACTAAAAACACAACTAAATAAGTATTAAAAAATCAACATGCTAAGTTTTAAACAACTAACAGCACTCATATGCGTTAGCATATGGGCTGCCGAGTGCTCGCCCAACCCTCCCATCTATAAAGGCTGTGATATTCCGGGCAATGTTCGGGAGGGAGTGAATCGGCCGCAGGACAGGTGCGCCAAAGAGGGCTTCTGTTGGGGTCCGGGCGGCGGGTTTCCCGACTGCTATAAACCCCATAACGACACCTCCATTAAGGTATACATACATCTGATGCCGTGGTTTGAGACCAAGGAGTCCAACACAGATCCCGACCGCATTGGCAAATGGGGTCAACACTGGTCTATGGTTAAGATGAACCCCGATATTAAGGACAGCTCCGGGAGGCGACAAATCGCCTCAAAACAATACCCACTCATCGATTTGTACGACTCGGGAGACCCGCACGTAATCGACTGGCAGTTGGGTCTCATGAAACTGTCGGGAGTGACGGGTGTGTTGATCGACTGGCCGGGCACTGCCAAAGTGTTTGACTACGTGGGCAATTTTGAAAACTGCGAGGCCATAGTGAAGGGCTGCGAACGGGTGGGTCTGGAGTACGCCATTGTCTACGAGGACCACAACCTGGGAATGGCTAGAGATGCACACCTGTTGAACGTGTCTATTGTAGAGCAGGGAAAGGCAGACATACGTTATCTAATGGACAAACACTTTGCCAACAAAAACTACATTCAAATGAAAGGCGCGCCACTTATACTGGACTTTGGCCCCCAAACCCTCAGCGCTGGTGACTGGGATCAGGTGTACTCAGTAGACCCGAAGCCGCCCATATTCATGACCCTATGGGGCCAAATGAAACAAGGTGGCAAAACTGCTCGTGGTGAATTCGCTTGGGTTTACTCTAACTATTTGGAGGGTTTGCGTAATTTCTATCACTTCGCCAATGATATTGACTTCAAGTTTGGCGTCGCGTACCCGGGCTTTGACTCGGCCTATACTATGGGCGGTTGGCCGGGCCCGACCTGGACTATACCCGTGTCGGTGGACACGTTTGAACAGACATTTGACTTAGTTAGAGCGTTTGGCATTAACCAGGTTCAAGTGGCCACGTGGAATGATTATGGTGAGGGCACTAATATTGAACCAACCCGTGAGCATCAGTACGAGTTCCTGAAGGTTCTTCAGCACCGACTGGAGCTCAAGTATACTGAGGAGGACCTGAAGAAAGTGACCGATAATTATCTTCACCGCAAACTTCACGCCAATAACCAAACGATGTTAGATATACTCGAGAGGCAGTACTTTCACATCATTAATAGTTAAATATACTTCAATATTTAACAATTTTATGTATTTAAATAATTGCATAAATGTTTATTAAATGAATTCAATAATTAATTTTAATTCAATGCTATTTATTTAATCGAATTATCAATTGTTTTGTTTCATAATTAAAATTATGTAAAATGTTTAATAATTTTTACAATAAAATTTTCCTATTTTACCGATCATTTTATTTCCTCTTTCATAACTAGAATAACATTCAAATAAGTATTGATTAAAAAAACACAATTTAATAATAAAAAACATTTAAATAAAAAATTTCATTTATTTATTTTACAACAAATCTTTTTTATTTTATAAATTCGCTATATTTTGCAATAATTGTAATAAAATAAAAATGCAGAATATTATAATTAATGAAGTAAAAATTATTTAGTAATTTAAAATTGACATTTAGGTTTTATATTGTACAACACAAATGTGTACAATTTTATTTATAACTTATACTTTTACTTTTACAATACTTTATATCATTAGCATTTATGAATAAATTTTATGTCAACTTTAATGCAGTATTACTTTTGCCTAAAAATTGTTTTTGAACATGTTAATTCATAAACAATTTTTATTTACCTTTTAATCCTATAGTATTGACAATTAAAATATGATTTCAATAATAATTTCAATTTATTATTATTATAGTAAAGTTATGATTTTTTAAAAAATAACTAAACCATGTATCTTACAAACCAAAAGTTTAAAATAATGCTTAAAAGTTTTAAGCAAACACGCTAATTAAGGCAGAAAATTATACTCAATCCCAATATTTTGCAAAACATGATCATTCATTCACTTCAATGAAAGTGTTCACAAATAGTAAAACAATTATTGCAAACTCATTGCATATAATGGTTGGCCTTAATTGTGAGCGTTTTGTGGACCAACTGTTGGCCAAAGAACTCAAATGCGATATTTGTTTGGATGTGGTCTCAGAGGCGGTCGACACTCAATGCCGGCACACGTTTTGCTACCAATGCCTCAACCAATGGCTGTGTGGGTCGAGCGGAGGCCAAATGTGTCCGCAATGTCGGCGCCGATTGACCGGCGATTGGAGGACCAGTTCGGGCGCAGATAATGAGCTGATAATCGGTGGCAGAGTTCTGGTCGACAAGAATCGCAAACTGAACGCAATTGTGGGCAAAATGACCGTCAAATGTGACTACGAGTGGAACGGCTGCCCACATGTCTGCCCACTGGACTCGCTGTCCGCACACATCAAGACCTGTGCCCACCGGTTGTGCGGAACGTGCGATCTCTCAACGGCCGGTCAGACACCGGACGGCCATAACTGTGTTCAAGAGCTGCGCAAAGACCGGATCCGATATCTCCAGAAATACAAAGCGCTTAAAAGTGAATGCATTTCATTGCGATCGGCGACCGAAGAGTTGGCCAAACAACTGATCCAATCGGAAGAGTTGTGTCGGGATTTGGCCACTGAATGTGCGTCCAGAGCGGGTCCGAAACTTAAGCCCCGGGCCATTGGTTACGATACTATTGCGAGACCTGTTTGTACGTATAGTCACCCAAACCCACCGCCGCTGCCGTTCATCACCGAGAACTCGATGGTCCGCTTCGGCACCTTTCAGACAGTTGTCCACCGCTTAGTGATCACCGAATGGTCTGTTCGGCTGCTGAAGGTATCGCTGATGAACGACATGACCCCGATATTCGCCGAAATGGTCTTATTGTATGGCTTGACTCAGGAGTTGTTGATCTGTCCCGACCCGGCGCTAACCATACTGTGTCTGCGACCCAAGCACTCGATGGCCGACGATATTAACGATAAATTGTTTTATATTTCGCCCAATAATTATTAAATGAACATCAATTCAAAGGGTTTGTCATATATTTTATTTGCGATTGACATTAATTATGCAATTATCTCATTATGTCTTGTGTCCAAACAGATCCGATGCACCGGAATATAGTTATTCTAATACATGACAATATGTCCGCATCGGTGGCCAACCGACTGATAGAGTGCTACGCGAGGATCACCAGTGGATCCATGTTTAAGATCATCGACAGACAGGCGGCCCAACAGTTACTTTATGGCGATATTTAGGGGGCAATGGCTTTGGCCCGGGAGGCGATGGAAAGGCTAATAGTTGCTAAACTAATTGTTTTATTGCATTACAATAATTCTAATATAATATCTTATTTTTACAATAGATGTTAGTTTTTATTAATTGTTTTTATTTTAATATATCATTTATGAAAATTTAAACAAATTATATAATAGTTAACTGAATTTATTAATCATACGATTAATGGTTAATATTTAAAACAAAATAGATTAATTTAATTTATTAAATTTGTGGTATTTTAGGGCTTACAAAAAATAATATTGTATGATCTTACGTGTTCAAATATAAATATAAACTTAATAAATTTGGAAAATTGCCAATGCGGTCGGGATCGGTGTTGGACTCTTTGGTCTCAAACCACGGCATCAGATGTATGTATACCTTAATGGAGGTGTCGTTATGGGGTTTATAGCAGTCGGGAAACCCGCCGCCCGGACCCCAACAGAAGCCCTCTTTGACGCACCTGTCCTGCGGCCGATTCACTCCCTCCCGAACATTGCCCGGAATATCACAGCCCTTATAGATGGGAGGGTTGGGCGAGCACTCGGCAGCCCATATGCCAACAATGCACACGAGTGCTGTTAGTTGTTTAAAACTTATCATGTTTATTTTCTTATACTTTGTTAGTTGTGTTTTAAGTCACTTTATATACCCAATGAATGTTTTATCACTGAATGAAATGTGTTTTAATTTCCATACAATTAATGCCAATTGTTTTTTCAAATCATTAATTGTTTTGTTGTATTTGTAAGTCTTATGCATTAAAAAATATTACAATAAGAATAAGTTGTATTAAAATCAGATAAAAATTAAAAATAATAAATACTAATAAATATATGAATAGAATCATAAATATCGACAATATATGATTATTGGGGCCAATTGTATCCATCGGGTGACCACTGGATCTGCGGTATTATTTCTATTCGTAAAGCAATTGTTTGGCCGTCTGTTTATCAATAGTCTCGTAGGAGTTCCCAAAGTGCTCGACGAGGTGTTGGATAACGGATCCGGTGATACTCTCCCTCAATAATATTACAATATTTTGTTGCGACACTTTTGTACGTGATAATTTTTTTTAAAACAATCATTATATATTTAATTATGGTAAATAACATACGGTTTGAGTGACAGTCCAATAGTTGAAAATTGGGTAAATCTGATAAATAGGTGCCGATGTGTAACTCCGGACGTATGACTATAACAGGTAGAGTCGGGTCAGAACACACCGAAATGGATGATAACTGTGTGTATGAGAAATGTATTGAACCGTATCCGACCAAACCGAGGGGTCTGACCATTTTGGCCAGACGTATGCCGTGTCTGTCGATCGTTAGTTCGCCGACAAGTGTCCAAAAATATCCAAAACGAACCATCGGTTCGGCCGAATAGACATAAGGCGGTTCAGTGAGAGTCAGCACGTTGTTCATGATTAGTAGGAGATTGCAATAAAACTGTATGAATAGCGAGAGTTGGCGGTTGTGATCTAAATTACAATTATTATATCAATTTACAGACAAAATTATTTTATAGATTTATTCAATTGTAAATAAATTATAACAAAAACATACCGTATGTAGAATTCAATCAGTAGTCCAATCTCTATAAGTGCTACCCACAAAATGATTAACAAAATGATATTTACATGTGTCTTATATACAATATTTTAGCATAAAGTTTAGGTATAATTCCAATACTAATATCAATAATTAGTATAGAAGGTATAAAATATATAAGCTATATAAACAATATTTGGATGCTTATAACTTTCTGCGTTAATGATTGTATTTGCTTAAAACTTTTAAGCCTACAGTAATTTTAAACTTTTGGTTTGTAAGATATAAAGTTTATTAGTATTTTAAAACATAACTTTACTATAACTATAATAAATGGAAATTATTATTGAAATCATATTTAAATCGTCAATACTATAGGATTGAAAGGCAAATAAAAATTGTTTATGAATGATAATTAAATGTAATTTTATTTAAATGTAATATAATTTTTAATCAAAACTAAAAGTAAATATAATTTTACATAAATAGGTATTAATGTTATATGAAACATAAATGTCAATAAACTACATTTTCATATTTGAATTAAGGTTAAAAATTTTATTTTAGAATTAAAAATAATGTCTATTAAAAAATTAGTACAAAGATTATTTTATGCTTTAAACATAATATAAGTGTGGAGTGAACTATCAATATTCTATCAATAATATATGAAAAGTGAAAATTATTAGCAACAAAAAATAATTAATACAAAAATATTTTAAATAAATGAATAGTTAAATCTATTAAAACATAAGTAATTAAAATAATCTGTAGTTTATTTCCTTATTTTAAGACTAATTTTGGGACAATTAGTGTAGAGATGATTGACAGCCAATTGTGTGCTATTATTATCGCCCATGAGTTGAATGCAACGGATTTGTGTCAGTCTTGACAATGCATTCAACACTTCATCCGTTATTATCACTCCATTGAGTCTCAGATCCAGAAGTTGTGGTAAATTGTTGTGAATA